CAAGGTTTAATATCCCTTCAAAAATCAGTCAACAGTTGCTCAGACATAAGCCCAGCTGTCCACAGTCTCAAGAAACCATTATAACAGCTAGAAATAGCTCGAGCACTGTGGGCCTCTGCCGGGGGGTGTCTGAAACTGGTTGCCGTAGAGCCACTTTGCCAGCTGCATACCACTGTGGGGTTGCTATTACAGGTTAAGAGGCTTTCTGGAGCAGCAGGGCTCCATAGTAGGACCTCTATTTTAAAAAAATCATAAGTTCATAAAGTTGAACATCTCAAAATTAGAGCAGGTGCTGTGCAGTAGGGTGCAGTGCATGGCTTTCTTCTTGTCCTTCAAATCACCGCAAGGCGATTTCCAATGCATTGGAACATGAAGCAATGTTGACTTGTCCTTCATCATCACTTCCTTTGTGATGTGACTTTTTTTTCCCCCATGAGGAAAAATGGTTTGTACAACTCGTCATTCATAAGGTTGGTGTTTGTAAAATCAAGGTTCTGCTGTGTTTGCAAATGAGTTGCGTGCATGCACTTGTTCTCCTTAGTGCTCAAAAAAATATTTATGCAGGTGACTGTGTGGGCAAATTGCATGTAAACGAAGAGGCTAGGTTTTGTAAATTTGGCCCCTTATGTTAGCTTAACTTACTTTTAAAAATGTATTTGTAACCAGTTGTAAAGCAGTAGTTTTCTAGATTGGGCCCAAACTTGCAAGGTGTTGAGAGACTCCAGGGAAGTGCTGAGCTGAATGACAGCTGAAGTTGCTCAGCACTGTAACAGACTGGGCCTATAATAGATACATTGTACTGTGCATAAGTATACATTGCCCTGTAATTTCTTTATACACTTGTATGGCTCAGGCATTTAAGAATGGCTATACTGGGTTAGACCAAAAGTCCATCTAGCCCAGTATCCTGTCTTTCTAGAGCAGCCAATGCCAGGTGCTCCAGAGGGAATAAACAGAACAGGTAATCATCAAGTGATCCATCCCCTGTCACCCATTCACAGTTTTTGGCAAACAGAGGCTAGGGACACCATCCCTGCCTATCCTGGCTAATAGCCATTGATGGACCTGTCCTCCATGAATTTATCTAGTTCTTTTTTTGAACCCTGTTATGGTCTGGCCTTCACAACATCCTCTGGCAAGGAGTTCCACAGGTTGACTGAGCTTTGTGTAGAAAAAATGTTTGTTTGTTTGTTGTTTGTTTGTTTTAAACCTGATGCCTATTAATTTCATTTGCTGGCCCCTGGTTCTTGTGTTATGAAAAGGAGTAAATAACAATTCCTTATTTACTTTCTCCACACCAGTCATGATTTTATAGACCTCAATCATGTTCCCCCTTAGTAATCTCTTTTCCAATCTCTCCTCATACGGCAGCCATTCCATACCCCTAATCATTTTTGTTGCCCTTTTCTGAACCTTTTCCAAGTCAATGCATCTTTTTTGAGATAGGGTGACCACATCTTCACACAGTATTCAAGATGTGGTCATACCATGGATTTTTATAGAGGCAATATGATATTTTCGGTCTTATTATCTATCCCCTTCTTAATGATTCCCAACATTCTGTTAGCTTTTTTGATTGCTGCTGCACACTGAGTGGATGTTTTCAGAGAACTATCCACAATGGCTCCAAGATCTTTCTTGAGTGGTAACAGATAATTTAGACCATCATTTTATATGTATAGGTGGGATTATGTTTTCCAATGTGCACTACTGTGCATTTATCAACATTGAATTTCATCTGCCATTTTGTTGCCCAGTCACCCAATTTTGACAGGTCCTTTTGTAGCTCTTCCCAGTCTGTCTGGGACTTAACTATCTTGAGTAGTTTTGCCACCTCACTGTTTACAGCCTTTTCCAGATCATTTATGACTATGTTAAATAGGACTGGGCTCAGTACAGACCCTTGGGGGACACCACTGTTTACCTCACTCCATTTCTGAAAACTCTATTCTTAAATATGCAAAGGCACTAGACCACTGTGCAGATGATCAGCCTGTAGTATGGTATAGATTCCAAGGCCAGAAGGGACCATTGTGATCAAGGATCTTGTAAATTTGAATGATTTTAGATTTATAGGAGTGCAAAAAACATCTAAACCCATTAAAATAATGGGTTTTTACATGCCCATTAATAAACCTCCATTAGGGTTTAAAAAAAAATTAAGCTAAGCCATTCTATGCTAAATTTCCTCCTAGAAAGAGCAAGTGCTATACAACTCTGTAGTTAGGAGTTTGTAAGGAAAACACTGGCAAAAAAGTAGCTCTATTAGTGATAGTGGGAACTGCCACTTTACCTGAGACTACTTTAAAGGCTCATTATATTGATGAGAAAGCTCCTCTACTATCACTTCAAACACTGACTGCATTAGCCTGGAGAAAATGGGATTTATGTATTTTTGGATACACAGACCCTAATAGGCAAACATCATTAAACACAATTTCTAAGTTTATAAAGCAAAATAATTAGTGCAAGCTAACATTTATTCTTTCATTCTGTGCACATGTAGCCTGGGGTAATTTGTGGGTTAGAGAACTATTCTCATGTATTTTGAGATCAGAATCACACCCCTAAGTAGTACCCAAAGCAGGGCTCATATAAAGCAGTAGGGAAGGCCCACTGCAGTGTTACGATTTAAAAAACCAAAATGTCAAAAGGGGATGGGATTTTAAAAACTGCTGTTTCAATTTAGTCTGAATAGAGAGGAAAATTACCCCACTGCATGATCAACAGGAAATATTAGGGGAGACAAACTGTATACAATATACTCAGTCTCTTCATACACAATACATTTGCACATGTAGGGCTGCCTTCTTGAGTCTACTCAAGCAGGTGGAGACCCAGCAGATCAGTCCCCTCATATTTCCCACATGTATGCAAAATCCCTGGGTGGTGTACAGCTGCTAAAGTGACTCTGCACCCCCCTCCCCTTCATATGCCTATTCTAGGAGGCATTCCCAGAGAAAAGTGTGCGTCACCAGGGCATCCTTATGGCCTCATGATCCCCAACTGCTGGACTAGCCTCTTGAGGCTAACAGCTGGGTGGTTGGGGCTACTCTGACTTCTAATAAGGGGACCATAAAGGTGGCATAAAACCTATATGCCCAGTCCTGTCCCAAGCAGAGCTTGGCCAGACCAGAGAGTCAGGACCATATGTATTTATATATTATATACACATGAACAAGGACACAAATTTGAGCCAATTCATTCACCTTGTGATGTTTCACAGCATTGTTTTATTCTTAAAAAAAAAATACAGTTTAAAGGAGAGCTGCTTTGATGCAGTCCCGTGTGCACAGCACATAAAACAGAACATTAAATATTGGTTTAAATTATTAAGATTAATTATAAATTTTAAAATCGACTAATACAAACAATTCAGAGCAACACTGGAAAATGTAATCCTAGAAAGTGCATTGCTGTAGTTAATGCAACTCCTTGTTCCCCTGGACATACTGCTGCGAAGAGTCTGAATCTGCTGATTCCAGTTGAGTATCGAGATGCACAGCATAATAAACACCACTTCTAGGATACAAAGCTCCATGTTCACATTTTTTTCTTTTAACCTTTTGCAACAGAAAATAAAAGCCAACATAGTATATTGTCTGCTTCTGCAAAGCCTGTGAGGTGATGAAATTCACTTGAAAAACAAATTAAGAAAAGCACTATAAATAACAACCCTGGCCAACTTGTGACCATCAAGAGCCAACATGGATAAGAAAGGGAATAAAAAAAGTCTTAAGTCCAGCAATACAAACCTTGCCCATTTTCTTTTGAAATCAGTAAAACAAATCATCTTTTGCAATTCCTAAGACTTTTCCGGTGAAGTTCTTTTCCCACACCTGGAAAACCCAGATAGCAGAGTATGGTTGATTTTTATTTCAATAGGACAGTATCCTTTATTATTATGAATAATAACATTATTATTTAAATACCTTGTAAGACTCAGGTGGCTCCTTTAGGGGAAAGTACTGTGAGCCCAGGCATAATAGAAGGTTTGGCCCTTTAAAAGCAGGGAACCTGGAGAGTACATTTCCCAGGGAGGAACTGTTGAGTGTCACGCATCTATGGGAGTGTGTGTCAGGTGACAAGCCAAGATTATATAAGGAAGGCAGTGGAGGGGGCAGGAAGTTGATGGAGATAGGGTTGATCTCTCCAGAGTAGCAGGCCTGTGCAAACAAACTGAGGAGGGTTGGTGGAAAAGGCCTGGGGGAACAAGAATGACAGTCCATTTAGCCCCTCCTGGGCTCAACAATCCACTAGTCTGGTTGGCACAGTTATAAAAAGGGGAACTTCCTGCAACCCTTCCTGGAAGATCAAGTCTGGCCACCCTAACTGTGAGTTTCAACTGACTTTAACACCCCCCTCCACAATCTTGTCCAAGTGACTTCCTTCTGTCAATAACCCTCCTTGGGGTCTTTCTGTGTGCTGTCTGTAGGTCTGTCCCAGGTCTTTTCCTGGATCTGTTCCACCAGCCATCCTCAGCTTGTTTTGTCAAGCCAGCTACTATGGAGAAGTCAAACCTAGGGAATACCTTCTCTCTGAGCCACAGGCTCCTACTCATATAGTCTTGGTCAGACATCTGACCTCCTCATTCACATAAGACCTAACAATCCCTTTTGGAGACTGCAGTTCCAAGAGTTCTCTGCCAAACCTTGATATATTAGGGCTCGTGACATCTGCTCTTAAAGGGACTGTCACTGTTCCATACCTTATTCAACATCAGATGAGAGTGGAAGAGTTCACAAGATTTCTCAGAATCAGAAGAAGTGTTGATCAGCGACAGATCTTTCTTCTTCACTTTGTACAGCATTTTTTATAGTCTGGTATTTGGCACCATGTCTCCCCAACCTTCAGTTCCTTTGAGACGGGCTTCAGTGCAGTTGATGATCAGTAGATGTATACTGCTGACTGGTTGAGCCAATTCACCATGATGCAGATGCTGGCATAGTGGAAAACTTTTAAACCAAACTGCTTGCTTTCACTGTGAAAAGTGCTTTAAAAAAGTGATCTCGGCACATCTTAAGGATTCGAAAATAGTACTTGGGGTTGGGAGGGAATCTATTTTATTTGGCTTTAAATCAATAAGGAAATAGGGCAATTGGCACATCTTGGAGAAGTTGCTGATTCAGGATTCTGGCCTGAATGTAAAATATAAAACAGTAAAGGATAACTTTGCCTTTATGCTGGACTTCTGCTGATTCTGGTGACTTCATGTGCAAGTTGTCCAAAGTTCTGTTAACTGAGTAATAAAGATGAACCTCTTGAATAACAAACTGTGGGTTTCAGTGAGGCATTTTTGGGGTCTGCTATAACCTTGTTGAGGTAAGTCTTTTCATGCCCCTCCTCTGAGCCAGATTGGAGGACAATACAGGCTCCAGTCTTGGTGCCTGAGGTGTTCTGTTTAAAGCAAAGTATGTGGCTGCCATTGCACCCTGTAAAATAAGAGAAATTCTTGGCTTAAAATAAGTTCTTTCATTACTCCCCTCCCTTTCCTAGTTCCTACCACCAAGTGAAAGGAGACTCTCCAGTAGCTGTTAGTAGTATAGGCCCTGGCAGACTGGTTCCAATTCCACCCCACAAGGGGTACTGGTACACGTGTACACATACACACACACACACACACTTGAGCTAGTTAATTACAACGCAGAAGGAAGTTATAACAACTAGTAGATGATGATGTGTGTAAAAGCTTTACATTTAATGTAATACTATATTTATCTTGGGCTCATTTGAAAATAACCCCCTAATTTCCTGTATCTCCAAGTTGCTAATGCAAATCCTATCTTTTCACTGTTACTCGGGAAGTTACAGTTCTCAGGAAAAAGATGCTGTGTACCTTCACCAGGTGAACATCCTGTCTGCTGAGTTGATTTTGAGATAGATATTCCCTGTTCACTATCCATGGGTGTCTTAGCACTTGGACTGCTGTTAGGCGCTGATGAGGATCTACATGAAGCATCTTGGACACAATATCCTGCGGTTGAAGGAGAAGGAAAAGGGGGTGGGGGGAGAAATGTAAAAACCGTCAATTGAGGTTTTCAGAGTCTGATTGGAAATATTTTTACTTAGATTTTCCCCTTACTCATGGTAGCTTCATCAGCAGTATTTAAATAGACAGGGCAGTGCATCCAAGCCTTTATAGTCCCTTGTAACTTTCAGAAGTAAAACCAAATTTCATACTGACATTTAAGCACCTAAGAGCCCATCTGAACACATTAATATGAAACTTGGACATCCTATTAAAACATCATTTGACAATTGGCCTGCACAGATGAGATGAACTAGTTATTTCTCTAACAATGAGAAAACAAAACTAACCAAAATCAACAAACAAAGAAATTAGGGGAAAATATAGTTTCCTACAGGAAAACTGGGATATTAAAGGCTCCTAAGTCATTTTTGAAAGGGGAAGTTAGATTCCTTGGTCACTGAGGCACTTCTGAAAATGTTACCATAAGTCACCAGCTTGAGAATGTTCACGAACTACACCCAGCCACCTTTATTATACTGAATTATATGATTCCCACATTGCTGACAAGCATGAAAAACATTTTTTTAATTAAAAAGCCTCTAGTTTAATTATTGATTTGAGTTCAGTTTAACCTGTTTGGTCCCAACTAATTGTTACAATAAGGTTTGTATGCAGCGTTGCTGTAGCTGTGTTGGTCCCAGGATACTAGAGAGACAAGGCAAGCGCGTTAATATCTTTGATTGAACCAACTTCTGTTGGTGAGAGAGACAAGCTTTCGAGCTTACACAGAGCTCTTCTTCAGACCTGAGTTAAGTGGATCAAGAACTGTCTGACAACTCAAAGTTGTCAATGGGGAACCATTGAAACGGGAGTATTTCTAGTGGGGTTCTGCAGATATTGGTTCAAGGTCTGGAACTATTCAACATTTCCTTCAATGATCTAGCATTAAATATAAAATCACTACTGATCAAATTAACAGATGACACACACATTGGTGAATGATGGAGAGTGCAGTGTGAAAGGACATGCTCACCCTGGTGTGCAGGACGCTAACTAGTTCCTCTGGGCCCATTCCATGCCTACAAGGCTTGCTGTGCCTGGAGGGGGAGGAGCTTAAAGGGGGGAAACAGGAATAAGTTGCTCTGCCCAGGGATGGCTGGTGACAAGAAATCCAGCCAAGGAGGAGATAACTACAAGACATACTGATCTCATAGCTGTCCTGACTGATGGTAAACAATATGCACCAGGAAGAGGGATAGAAGGTAAACCCCTTGAGGGGGCAATAGACTCTGTGGGACTGAGTCCTTAGAGCTGATTCTCAAGGACTGCCTGAGAGACTGGTCCTTGTTCCAGCCAGATCTCTTTCTCCTCCCCACCCCCACTGCAAAAGAAGTGGAGGAACAAGATCCAAACACAGGCCTGTGGGTGGTGGCCTGGAGAGAGTTTCCTCCAAAGACTGCCAACTGTGGGGGAGGGAAAAGAGGGGGTAAACAAAAGAGAGAGGAACATTGCAGGGGGAGGGAAGGTCCCTGGCCTGTCCCCCGACCCACTAGTTGGATCAGCAGAGACTGTGGGGACTGTTCTCCTTCCATTTCCCTATGCTGGCCAGGGATGAGGTTAGCAGAGTGAATGGCAGGTTTGAGGCACTAGCAAAAGTGGCCAAACTGAGGGCTGCTGTGAACCTCTGAGGCGAGCAAATCCACCAATAAGCACAGGACCCACCAAGGCAGAGGAGGAACTTTGTCACAACTGGTGTCCGGGGTGGGATTTGGCGTGCACAGTGCAGAGGAAGAAGGAGGGTGTGTTGTTTTTTTTGTTTGTTTTTTGTTTCGTTTTTTAAAAAGGTGAGGGTTTATTTTTTCACCACAGTGGATGACGTAATGCGGGCACTGATACAAGCCATGGCTACTCGTGTCCAGCAGCCACCCAACAGGAGGCAGTGAGGCTGCAGCAGGAGACTAATCGCTTGTTAATAGACCAGGCTACTCAAGATGGGGCTATGTTGTGGGAACTGGTAAACCAGGTAAAGGCCCTTACAGAGCTGAATCTTGGCTAGGATGGGACACACATCATACGGGCCAGCAATTGGCTGCAGAAAATGACATGGGAGGATGACATAGAGGCGTACCTCCTGGCATTTGAGAGGACAGCCCTGTGGGAGGCTTGGCCCTGAGATCAGTGGTCTGGCATCCTCTCCCCATTCCTGTGTGGGGAGGCCCAGAAGGCCGACTATGATCTGCCTGAAGAAGATGCAGCAGACTACCCTTAGCTAAAAGCAGAGATCCTGGCCAGATCTGCGGTCAAGACCGCAGTGCAGGCCCAGCAATATCATGAGTGGAGGTACCAGGAAAACAAAACCCCGCGGTCCCAATTATATGACTCATCCATCTCGCACAAAAGTGGTTTCAAACTGAGTCCTAGAGTCCGGAAGAGATACTAGAGGTTCTGGTGATCGACCAATATATGAGGGGACTCCCACCAGACTTTCGTGCCTGGGTAAGCCAGAATGAACCCTCCACCTACGACGAGGTTGTCGCACTGGTAGAGGGCGAAGGATGGCAAGGGAACTGCCCCGAACACTTAAGGAAGAGGCACCCCGGGTTAAACTAGCAGCACCAAGCCGCACAGCTCGGGTGACTGGGCCCCTAGGAGGGCCCAGGTGGAAAAAGAGAGAGGCTGAAGGCCCATCGGCGACCACAAAGAGTCGGAGCACTGAGGGGAAGAGGATAGTGTCATTAGACTGCCCAAACAGAGAGACCAAGGAATGCCTAGGGCCCCATATGGATGTTACACCTGCGGGGAGTGGAGACACACAGCTTCACAGTGTCCCAATGCCGAGAAGCCTATGCAATGTAACCTGGGGAACTGGGCAGACCCATGCTCCCTAATCCATCTGGTGGGGGTTGCACTAACCCCGCATATGTACACCAGACTAGTAAAACTAAATGGGGCAGAAACCATGGCACTAGTTGATTCGGAGAGTGCTATCATGCTTATTTCAGGGAAGCTTGTGAAGTGTAGTCAGCTGCTGCAAGCAAAGCGCACAGGGGTGACATGAATCCATGGGACAGTTAGTTATTTCCCCACCATCCTGGTAAAAATTGAAATCCAGGGCAATACTACGGAGGTAGCAGCAGGTGTAGTCCCTAAACTCCCATACCTGGTGCTCATAGGGAGGGACTTTCCAGGGTTTGGAGACTTACTGCCAGTAGGGGGGATTGGAGAAAGGGGGAAACCCTGAAGTTAGTGAGACATCCACAGTAAACTGTCAACCCTGAATCTTCTCTGAAATATCCCCAGATTTGTTCTCCACTCCCAGGTAAGGTAGAAAGATGAAAAAGGAAAGAAGGGCAGCTAAGGCCTTGGGAACCCGAATACTGACCCAAAGCCAGAGGGTTGCTTTTGCAGGTAGGCAGACCTGAGCAGCTGAAAAGGAGGCCGCCCACGAGGGAGAAGCACCCGAGTCTGACCCGCACCCTAATGCCTCTGATCCAGTAGAGGTGACAGAGACTGGTCCCCTAGATCTCCGGCAGATTAGCCCCAGGAGAGAAAATTTTGGACGGGACCAGGCTGAAGACCCAAGGTACTACAACATTAGGAAGGAGGTGACTGAAATAGATACGGTCCCCGTGGAATGGAAAACCCAGGGACCAGGATGCTACATAATGAAGAAGGATCTCTTGTACCGGGTTGCACCAGTACAGGGGCAGAAGGTACAGCAGATCCTAGTACCTCAAAAACACCAGAATGCTGTATTAAGACGTGCCCATAGGCATCTTTTTGGGGGGCATTTGGGGGTAGAGAATGGCAAGGGTCCTACGATGGTTCTTCTGGCCCGGACTACATGAAGAAGTGCAAAGGTATGGTGCGTCCTGCCCAGAGTGTCAGCTGCAAAGTCCCCATCCTCACATGAAGGCACCTTTAGTACCCCTTCCCATCACAGAGGTCCCTTTCGAGCGAATAGCCATGGACCTAGTGGGATCCCTGGAGAAGACGGCTCAGGGCTACGAATATATACTTCTTGTTTTGGACTATGCTACTCGCTACCCAGAAGCTGTCCCCCTGCGAAACATGGCCTCTAAGATGATAGCCAAAGAGCTGGTGGGGATCTTTGCCCAAGTGGGGCTACCAAAGGAGATATTAACAGACCAAGGAACCCCGTTTATGTCGAAGCTAATGAAGGACCTCTATACCCTGCTCCATATACATACCCTGAGAACTTCAGTCTATCATCCGCAGACCGATGGGCTGGTAGAAAGGTTTAACCGAACCCTCAAGGCTATGATAAGGAAGGTGGTAAGTTGGGATGGGAAGGATTGGAACACCCTAATATCTTACCTTATGTTCGCCATCCGGGAGGTACCTCAGGCCTCAACTGAATTTTCCCCCTTTGAGTTATTATATGGGTGCCACCCCGTGGCATACTAGATATCGCCAAAGAGATCTGGGAAGAGGAACCCAATGAGGGGAGAAATATAACTGAACATGTATTGCAGATGCGAGACTGGATAGCCCGGGTCACCCCATTGTATGGGAACATTTGGAAAAGGTGCAGGAAACCCAGCAAACCCATTACAATCACCAGGCAGAAGTCTGACAGTTCCAACCAGGGCATCGCATGATGGTGTTGGTACCCATGGCAGAAAGCAAGCTTTTGGCCCAATGACAGAGGCCCTATGAGGTGGTTGAACCCGTGGGGGAAGTAACCTACAAGGTGCGGCAGCCGGAAACAAGAACAGATTTATCACATTAACTTCTTGAAACCTTGGCAACAGTGAGAGGCATGTGTAGTGGCCCAAGAGGCCCTGATCCAGGGAAATAACTTACATGAACAGATCAGGATATCCCCTGATCTGATACCGAACCAGAAGAAGGAGGTAACTGAGATGATCAACTGGTACCAGGACGTGTTTCAACCAAACCAGGCCAGACCACCAAAGCATATCACCACATTATCACAGATCCTGGGGCAAAGGTAACTTTAAGCCCCTACCGGGTCCCAGAGGCAAAAAGGGAGGAGATCAAGGGAGAGGTAAAAAGGATGTTGGAACTGGGAGTCATCGAAGAGTCCCACAGTCAATGGTCGAGCCCGATTGTGTTGGTGCCCAAACCTGATGGCACCACTAGGTTTTGATGCATACCCCATACCCTGCATTGATGAGTTAGTTGACCACTTGGGCAATGCCTGATTTTTGACCACCCTTGATTTAACAAAGGGATACTGGCAGATTCCCCTTGCCAAAGATGCGGAAGAAAAGACGGCATTCTCTACACCAGAGGGTCTGTTTCAATATACTGTTCTTCCTTTTGGACTGCATGGGGCACCTGCCACCTTCCAGTGTCTTATGGACAAGCTCCTGCGGCCCCCTACAGTTATGCAGCTGCATACCTGGATGATGTGATTATTCACACCCCCGACTGGGAGACCCACTTGGAAAAGGTGGAAGCGGTACTGGACACGCTAAGATGGGCCGGCCTCACAGCCAACCCAGCCAAGTGTTCTACAGGGCTAGCCGAGGCTAAATACCTTGGCTACATTGTAGGAAGGGGCATGGTCAAGCCCCAACTAAACAAACTGGAGGCTATCCAAAATTGTCCCTGGCCGAATCGGAAAAAGCAAGTCCGGGCATTCCTGGGTGTGGTGGGGTACTACCGGTGATTTATTCCCCATTTTGCCACCAGAGCAAGTCCCCTGACCGACCTGATAAAAGCCCGGGGTCCAGACATGGTGAAGTGGACAGATGCCGCAGAGAAAGCATTCACGGATCTACGGACAGCCCTCTGCAGTAACCCTGTGCTTATAGCCCCAGACTTCAACAAAGAATTCATTTTACAGACAGATGCATCTGAAGTAGGATTGGGAGATGTCCTATCGCAGATGGTTGGAGATGAAGAACACTGGATCCTCTACCTCAGCAGGAAACTCTTCCCAAGAGAGCAGAAGTATGCTGTGGTTGAGAGAGAGTGCCTTGCTGTGAAATGGGCCATGGAAACACTATGTTATTACCTGCTGGTTTACCCTTGTGACCAACCATGCACCCCTCCAGTGGATGCAGCAAAATAAAGAGAAGAACGCAAGGGTGACCAGATGGTTCCTGTCCCTACAACCTTTTCAATTAATCATACAATACCGGGCTGGAAGCCACCATAGCAATGCAGATGGCTTGTCTCGGGTACACTGCCTGATGTCTGAAGTTGCCCAACCCTGTAGTGTTGAGCAGAGGGGGGCGGTATATGTGACAAGGTCAGGCCAGATGGCTACAGGAGAGTGATAGAAGGCAGATATATTAGCTCCAGATTAAGCAGGTCCTTTTTCCCTGGGTAAGGTAACAGGGGTGGTTCCAGAACAATCAGGAACTTGCTGGAACCAATTAAGGCAGGCAGGCTAATTAGGACACCTGGAGCCAATTAAGAAGCTGCTAGAAGCAATTAAGACAGGCAGGCTAATCAGGCCATCTGGTTGGAAAAGGACCTCACTTCAATCAGTGAGGGGTGTGCAAGGAGCTAAGAGCGAGAGGGCGTGCTGCTAGAGGACCGAGGAATACAAACGCTATCTGGCATCAGGAAGAAGGTCCTGTGGTGAGGATAAAGAAGGTGTGGGGAGGAGGCTGTGGGGAAGTAGCCAGGGAGTTGTAGCTGTCATGCAGCTGTTACAAGAAACACTGTAGACAGCTGCAATCCACAGGGCCCTGGGCTGGAACCTGGAGTAGGGGGTGGGCCTGGGTTTCCCCCAACCCCTTATTGGATACAAGAGGAGTGGTCCTGGACTGTGGGTTCCACCAGAGGGGAAGGTCCCTGGCCTGTCCCCCAACCCACTAGGTGAATCAGCAGAGACTGCAGGGATTGTTCTCCTTCCGTTTCCCTAAGCTGGCCAGCGATGAGGTTAGCTGAGTGAACGGCAGGTTTGAGCCACTAGCAAAAGTGGCCAAACTGAGGGCTGCTGTGAACCTCTGAAGCGAACAAATCCACCAATAAGTGCAGGACCCACCAAGGCAGAGGAGGAACTTTGTCACAGTAAGTACCTCCATGGAGAGAAAATACTAGGTACTAAAAGGCTCTTTAATTTAGTGGAGAAAGGCATAAGGACCACCAATGACTAGAAACATAAACCAGAAAAATTCAAATTGGAAATAAGGCATACGTTTTTAACAATTTAAGGGTGATTAACCATTGGAACAAACTACCAAGGGAAGTGGTGGATTCTCCATCTCTTAACATGTTCAAATCAAGGCTAGAAGGATAGGCTTCAGTCAAGCACAAGTTATTTGGTTCAATAGAGAGGTAACTAGGTGAAATTCTATGGCCAGTAATATACAGGAGGTCAAATTAGATGATCTAATGGTCCCTTCTGGCCTTAAACTCTAAAGAATACAAGAGAAATGAAGATGGTCCTGTGGTTAGAATTTAGGACAGGTTTGTCCTAATCCCAGCTCTTCCACAGACGTCTTTTGTGACTTTGGGTAAGTCACTTTGGTCAAAATGTATAGAAGTGACCAATACTTGGAGGTATGGGGGCCCATTTGAGACACACCTTGGGCCTGATTCTTAAAAGGGCTGGGGGCTGAGTGCCCACTACTTCAGATGAAGTCAAGTGGAGCTGTGGGTGCTCAGCACCTCTGAAAACCAGGCCCAAGGTATCACAAATTTGGGTACCCAAAATGAGTGGCCATTTCTGAAAATTTTGGCATAATCAATTTGTGCTGCACTTTTCTCATTTGTAAAACTGGTTCAAGGATATTTACCTTCCTCACAAGACTGTGAGAGAGAAATTAATATCTGTAAAGTCAACTGAGATACTTGAATGAAAAGTATTAGTAATAATACAAAACCATAACAACAAACATACCTAAGTGCATGTTAAAATATTTATTTATGGGTTGCCTTTTAAAGGGTTTACCTCCGGGGGTCACACAGTGATCCACAGTTAACCCGGACATCTGCAGTTTTGGGCTGCCCTCTATATTTTGAAAAGTTCAACCAAATTGAAAAGGATTTTTTGTTGGACTTAGATATTAAATTTCACTTATTTGCGTTATGATGCTGCATTATGTCTTACATTCCTGAAATAGGCGACACAAATTCATAAGTCACCCAGAACCATTTTGACATAGTTCTCATTAAAATAGAATTGATGGAACTAATACAGCTGCTGCTTTCACCTCCTCTTGCTTAAAAGAACCTTAGTCTTGCAGAATGACCCCTTTTTGGAAAGCAGGATAAAAACATGACTCATCTGCTGACCTTGGCAGCATCGGACACTGAATCCCAGTTTCCTCCTGCAAGTGCATACTTCCCGCTGCCAATCCTGGCCAGTATCTCTTCTGGGGTGTCATCTGGTCCATTTGCAAAAGGGGTGAATCTGTGAAACAAACATCACGTTTACTGTAAAAAGATGTATCTTTATGTACTGCAGATTTTTAGGTGTACAATTTTAGGGCCTGATTCTGCAGCCCTAGCTCCCACTAAAATCATTAGGCATTTAATCTAAGTAAAGACTGCAGAAACAAGCCCTTAATTTTTATTCAGCTATGGTGAGAGTTTCTCAAGGACAAATGCTGTACCATCCCCTTGAAATTGTCCTGCAAAGAAAAAAGAAATGCACTTTTGTTTCCCTCTGGTTTCTTTCTGATTTTTTTTTTAAAGCATATGTTATTTTTCTCCCCACCCTCCTTTTTTTTAACCTTAAAAATTCAGGTCTAGGCTACCTTAGAGCCAGGGTGATTGGCAAAGTAGTGGAATTATGACATAAGAGGCAGGATGTAAAAGCTCTGATATATCTGAGACGAAGAAAGCAGGAAAACAAACACCTTTTTTAAAAAAAAACATTCAAAAGCCCACCTTTCAGGTCTTCTTTAGTTGTCATAATAAAGATTGTGGAAACAAATCACCTGTGATAGGGTTATGGAAAAGCCTGTCTCCCCACCCCTCAGCTATCTCCTCTTTGGAGTAGAAGAGGTGCCCCGGATCTCAACAGGCTTCTCACCTTTTGAACTTTTATATGGCTAACAGCCTTGAGGAATCCTGGACCTCCTTAAAAGATGCCAGGGAAAAGCAGTAGTCATGGTCTCAAACCATGTTACAGCAGGTCCTACAAATGCACAAATCTTGAACATGTGGGACAATTTATGAAGGAGAATCTTCTGCGTGCCCAACAAACTCAGGCTCAAAACTATAACAAAGGCTCCTGGGAGAGGGTTTTTCAGGTGGGGGGACTGCATGCTATTGCTCCTCCCCAGCTCTGAGGGCAAGCTCTTGGCCCAATGGCAGGGCCATAGGAGGTTTGTCTGATGGGAATTCAGATTTTCTTTTAAGGATTACATTTTTAAAAATCCAGTTAATTAATCTAACTGATAAGATAAACTGATCTCAGATAATGTGTCAGTCTTTAAAGTCCTTATCTCCTCTTGCCATAAACGCTGTAAATCTGTGGTATTAGCTAAACAGAGACTGCCTTTTTCAGAGACCACAGTGAAGTAAGGAATTGTAAGACATTGCTTTAGTTCAGAGCAGAAACTGACTTGATTTGCAGCGCAGGCCAGACAGGCTCTGCACATTATTCCTGAAGCGTCTAACATACCTAACACAGTTTCTGAACAATTCTGATCACCTCTAAATAGCTAGTATTGGAAGTGCTGGCATCTTTTTTGTAATGGATGAGGCAAAATGTGAGTGACAGAGATGGACTCAAAGTATGTGTTTTCCATACAATCTGAGGAGGGAATTAAAGTTCTTCTCCACTGCTGAACTAGCAAGTATCTGGTCTATGTGTTTTAAAGGACATTGCAAAGATTCAACCAATGATTAGATATGACAAATGTGCATGTACTCTCTGCTGTGGCCAGCCAGCCAGCCATTCCTCTACTAGAGCTGTACGAAACTTGACATTTTTAGTTTGCAAGGAGTTTGACAATTTTTGTTTCTGGTTTGTGTTCTATGACTTTCACACTGACTTTCAGATTCAAACCAACTCTTCATTCTCAGCCCTTTCTACTCCTTTCAATCTACTTTCTTCCTCTGAGCCATCTTATGTCTGTCTTTAACTTTAGCCACCACATCTATACCTCCTTTCCCTTTCTAGGTCCCAGCTCCCCAAGCACCCACTCCTTTTGCTAGTTTGTCCCTTTTTACAATCTTATTGCTGGTAGGAGAGCCTTTTCCTTTGTAACTCTTGCCATCAGAAGCAAAATTCCTATTCTGTCTGCATCTTGGAGCCTCCATCTATCTTTCAAATTGCACCTGAAAACACAACTTTTCTCCTTTTCATAGGTGCTCAGATACCACAGTGATGAGCACAGTACAGGAACCTGAATAGAACACACCTTAAAATTGAAATTAATGAAACTCCTCATATGAATAAGGTGAACAGGATCTGGCTCTTTAATAGACTATTCCTATATTATACACTTAAGCACTTTTGGAAATTTTATCCTAAGTGATGTATGCATTTAGTAGCTTAAGTCTCATTGACAGCCTATGGGACATAGGCTAAGTGTCTAAATCAGTTCTAAAAGTGCCAGACTTTTCAGTTCTGAAAGTGCCAGGCTTTTTATTTTGTCTGCTGCAATTAGCTTAATCTCTCAGAATAAATTGTATTTGTATTTATTCATGACCTGTTTATGTCTTTAATCACTTTTGAACTACCTGCACCAGAAATCTCACACTTACCCTGCCAGCATGGTGTACAACAGGATCCCTAAACTCCAGACGTCGCAGGCTGCGTCATAACCTTGTCGTTTCAGGACCTACATAAGGAAATCAAAAGCGACAAGGTTAATTCATGCTCCTGATTTCTGAACTTTTGAATTGCAAGAAAATGTGGATGTTATGGCAGTGATTTGTTAACATTTTGCAGAGCTTGCTCTAGTCTACAGGTGGAATAGGGAGTTGCTGAGGGCAGCAAAACAGGAATTGTTTGCGTGGGCAACTATAGGATGGAAGGGGGGTACATTTACCATTTAGTTGAAGATAATAAGAATCTATTTAGCTGGTCCTAGACCCACAACTCTAAAGAAGCCAAATAAGTCAGAGGGGCTGCGAAGCTGGGGGGGGGAGGGGGAAGGGAGGGGAAGGTGGAGTTTAAAGGCAATGAATACAAGCAACTATTCTCTCCTTTGTGCATATACATTCTAATCAGTGAATGCATTTTTAAAGGTGTAAAACCCTTTCTGCTATAGTGTATAACATATTTGTTAAAGTGGCAAAGAGTCCTGTTTCAGAGTAACAGCCGTGTTAGTCTGTATTCGCAAAAAGAAAAGGAGTACTTGTGGCACCTTAGAGACTAACCAATTTATTTGAGCATGAGCTTTCGTGAGCTACAGCTCACTTCATCGGATGCATACCGTGGAATGCATCCGATGAAGTGAGCTGTAGCTCACGAAAGCTCATGCTCAAATAAATTGGTTAGTCTCTAAGGTGCCACAAGTACTCCTTTTCTTTTAAAGAGTCCTGTGGCACCTTATAGACTAACAGATGTATTGGAGCATAAGCTGTCGTGGGTGAAGACCCACTTCGTCAGATGCATGCACCCACGAAAGCTTATGCTCCAATACGTCTGAGTCTGCTCTACAGTCTTACCTAACAGCCATATGGCTTTTGCCTCATGCTGTAGAGGCTCATGCACTAAGCTCCAGAGGTCCCAGGTTTGATCTCGTCCACCGATGACTGTGGTCTGTCGGGGTTACATTAACAAAGCCAAACTTGACCATTTTTCCTCATGTAGACAAGCTCTAAGGTGCTTTGAAGAGATCTGCCCAGCTGACTTAATACTGGTGTAGAACCAGAGTGGGAGCTATGTTCAGTCCTGTTGGCCGCATGGACAGCTAGCCCAGCACAAGGGGCCTGAGTCAGATCTGCAGTGGTGTAAATCAGGAGTTACGCCATTCAAGTCAGTGGATTTACAATGGTGTAAAATCTCTCAGGGTGGGGGAAAAATAGGGGATTCCTGATGTTCTGAGAAGGACCGTGGAGCATTCTTACCCTCAGGAGGGAAAGAATAACTAACTTTTGAATTTGCTTCCCTACTGCTTTAAAAGTGAGTCAGTATTCTGCTTACATTTTGAGATTGCAGTTGTTATAGAAGATCAGTTTTTCCCATATGCTGGGATCACTAGATACAGTGACCTCCCTGCAAAACACTACAAAAGGAAGGAACATTCTGAAACATTTTTTTTTCTGTCCTGAAGCCCTAGCACTGATTAGTGATCTCACTTCATTGAACGGTTGTGGGGGATTCTCCAACACTGATCATTTTAAAATCAAGATTGAAGGTTTTTCTAAAAGATCTGCTCTAGAAATTTTTTTTTTTTTGCAATGGGTGGGGTTATGGTCTGGGTTCGACAAGAAGTAAGTTTGGATGATCATAATAGTCCCTTCTGTCCTTGGAATCGATGACAAAAGTAGTTTCAGAAAATCCTGCCTAGGTAAACTTTAGTGAATACCAATGACAAGGCAAAACAATCTCTCCATCTGACAGATGTGCTGAGTGTGCATCTGCTACCTTGGAAAAAGCTACCTTACACAAGACAGTCATGACTTGGGGGCAAATAGAGTAGACAAAAAATTCTAAAAAGCTTAAAAGTACAGTATATCTGTGTTCAGAATTGACTGTGCTGGCTGGCTACTGCATCATGACAATTTTAACAGCTAGTAAAATCAGAACAGGAGTTGGGGTGTATTTTAGCTTCCAAAATAACTTTAATAGTCCATGTTACTGATTTTTACAGTTGCATGAAATAAAATGGAGAGGTTCCAAAGTACCTCCAATAATGTATCCACGTTGGAGGCCAAAGACCTGGTGTTTCAGCAGAAAATCTGCACACTTTTTGGTGCAAAATCTACCCTTGTGCAAGCTTATGCTGTAGGGAATCTGGAAAAAGTAGGTGTGCAATTACTCAGAAAAGACTGTTTGCCAAAAATTCCCTATTGTCACTGCCACTGGTGGTAACAATGGTGGGACGGCTTGTCAGAGCTACCAGGCACCACTGATGGTTTAAACATCATCTCCAGGTCTACAATAATGCAGTGGTTTAAGTACCAGCAGCCACCAGCACCTTGTCGATGCTCCAGCTCCCACTGGTGAAACTCAACAGATGGGAGCAGTGTGGGACATTTTTGGCAAAAAGGTCAAGCACAGACCATGCCTATGGTTGTACAGTGACTAGCACAGTGTGGCTTCTGGGCACAACTAACATAAATAACGATAAGCATCTGCACTAAAATCAGATACCAGTTCTTTTTCGCAACTTCCATAAAAGTATTTTTGTTAAAAGGGCTTTACAAGAGAAGATGTGTTATCCTGTCCCCATGGAAGTCAGAGAACCTGTCATGTATTTAAGAGCCAAGATTTCCTAAGGGACAGAATGTGTTTTCAATGTACATATATATGGTTCTTAGGTCAACATACTGTAGGTCATTTGTAGGGATGGGCAAACTTCAGATGGCTCCACTGATTTCTAAAAACCACCCAGATGTGTATCCAAAATCATCTAACTTTTAGATTTTGCATTACTGGGCTGAAATATTGTGAAAATAGGCTCTCTCTGGTACTTTAGCATTTCGGTTTCTGGTTGTAGTGGGAACTAGGAAGCATACAACAATGGAAAAATAAGAATAAAAAAAATGCTTACATTTTTGCATGCCCAAAAAGATTCTGGCCAGAGTTTGGTTGAATTTTGAAGAACGAAGGCTCCTTATTTTCCCCAAAATGATCCTCTTGTACTATGTCATGGTGCTTGTGGTTTGTTTTTTTCCTGACTGAACCATGCTATTTATTCTTTACAGAGAGCACTGCTCCCACTAGGTGGCATGCTGGTTCTTCCTCTTAGGCATCTTTTACCATCTATGATATTTTATCCTGCAATAGCCCCATTAGCATCTATTACCAAAAATTAAATGCTGTACAAAATAAAGATTTATATATGCAGACCTGCCATTACACCTCTGCTATCCTCTTGTATCATATGCTCAATCTCCTTCCTAACTTCCTATATAACTTCACATGCATATGGGAGGAAATGGTTTCAGTGGGGGTTGAACTGAGACAGTAAAAGACAAATCTGAGCTGACGGGCAGCATTATGTCACAGGAGCAGCACTTAAGGCTTTCATGCAAACTGTCAGTTATGGCAATGTTTCAATTGATCTCTAATGTTTCCTGCATTAGTAGGACTTGCCTGGCTCATTGAGAATGGTTAGGAGTATGATTTCTGATCTGAATTCAGCTCACTAAAGTCTAATCTGACAGTGTGTTGCTCTGGCAGTGTTTCTGATTAAGGACAGTGTACAAAAGATATTCCATAATGAAAAGAGAAAACAGATACTGTAGGAATGTTACATCTTCCAGAAAATGACAATATTTAGTATCTCGTAGGTGGTCAATTTTCATCTTAAAAATTAAACTGTCGTGGTACCACAGTACATTTTTTCATTTCATTCTGATATATTTTAAAGAGCTCTTTCCACTTTCCAGAATGGATAACCAGACCAGCAGCAACAAAATAACTGACCAGAATGTAACTTGACAATGGAAGAGTTAATAAAATATCTGCATTTTTATATATTGATCATGGTGGTCGCATGTGTCATGGAACATGACTTTGTGTCTAACACAATGAGCCACATCATCTGATGATGAGATGGCGTCAATTAAACAAAAGTCACTTTTTGAGAATTCGGGGTATATGACCCAAATTTTAAAAAAACTTCCTAAAAGTATTGTCTGCAGGAAGATGAGCCAATTACTTACTTCATAGTTATAGACAGATACCAAGTTGCTACTTTTTTGGGCAGGAGGGTAAGGAACTTAGGGGGCAAAGGAGGTTGAGGATTGCATACTGTCTGAGGGAAAAATGGTATTTGATAGTGGAATGATACATAATTTTGTGATATGTAATAATTTTGTATTCTGTTATTGGGTAGTAACCAGCAGAGGTAGACAAACAATTAGAGTTGTATATTCAGGGACTTGAATAAGCTAGAGAAACCTGATTGGAACAAATAACTTACAATCATCGAGGAGATAAGCTTGTTAATGCTTCATAGAAGGACAGATATGAGTTTCAAGTGCTGAACCATAGTGGGCAGCCTAAATAGTCCAAACAGGTAAGGAACCAAAGCTATGAGCACAGTTACCACAAGATTAGGGGCAATAAAAAGGAAGAGCACTTGCTTGGGTTAGTGCTAACCTGGATCCAGTTTCTGTTACCTTGTTCAAGTCACTTGGCCTCTCTCTGCCTCAGTTCCCCACCTGTAAGTGCTGAGGATAATAGCACTTCTCACTCTCAAAGGGGTGTTGTAAGGACACCAGACATTAAAAACTGGGAGGTGCTCAGATACTACAGTGATAGGGGCCATACAAGTATCACAGATAGAAAGAAGAGAAAACACAGAGGGCCAGATTCGGATACCCTTCCTCACACTAAACAGCATGTTACTCTATGAGTAGTTCCATTGACTTCAGTGGGACTGCTCATGGGGTGAGATACTATCCATCATGAATAATGGTATCAGAAACTGTCCCAGATGGGAAATGAATCCAGAGATGTGATGCCAAGAAAGAATTCAGACATGCTGCCACACAAAGAGTAAGAGGAGGATGGGCTAAGCTTAGGAGAGGAGCATTCACTAAACCTGTAGTGCCTTTTTCATCTTCACTATAACCACAGATTCCATCTGGCTTGATTATGATTTGAGGAGTTCGAGGTCAGAGATGTTTTGCAGGCTCTTTTGTTTAAGCTCCTGAAATTGTGGAACCAATGAAGCCATTAGCAAAACTTCCATTGACTTCAGTGGGGCCAGGATTTCATTCCAAAATTTTTTCTCTCTTGATTCTTAATTAATCTTGGTTTCAATATAATCATTCTGATGATCATAATTATTCATGATGATACTAAACTGGGAGGAGTGGTAGATACGCTGGAGGGGAGGGATAGGATACAGAAAGACCTAGACAAATTGGAGGATTGGGCCAAAAGAAATCTGATGAGGTTCAATAAGGATAAGTGCAGGGTCCTGCACTTAGGACGGAAGAACCCAATGCACAGCTACAGACTAGGGACCGAATGGCTAGGCAGCAGTTCTGCGGAAAAGGACCTAGGGGTGACAGTGGACGAGAAGCTGGATATGAGTCAGCAGTGTGCCCTTGTTGCCAAGAAGGCCAATGGCATTTTGGGATGTATAAGTAGGGGCATAGCGAGCAGATCGAGGGATGTGATCGTTCCCCTCTATTCGACATTGGTGAGGCCTCATCTGGAGTACTGTGTCCAGTTTTGGGCCCCACACTTCAAGAAGGATGCGGATAAATTGGAGAGAGTCCAGCGAAGGGCAACAAAAATGATTAGGGGACTGGAACACATGAGTTATGAGGAGAGGCTGAGGGAGCTGGGATTGTTTAGCCTGCAGAAGAGAAGAATGAGGGGGGATTTGATAGCTGCTTTCAACTACCTAAAAGGGGGTTCCAAAGAGGATGGCTCTAGACTGTTCTCAATGGTAGCAGATGACAGAACGAGGAGTAATGGTCTCAAGTTGCAGTGGGGGAGGTTTAGATGGGATATTAGGAAAAACTTTTTCACTAAGAGGGTGGTGAAACACTGGAATGCGTTACCTAGGGAGGTGGTAGAATCTCCTTCCTTAGAGGTTTTTAAGGTCAGGCTTGACAAAGCCCTGGCTGGGATGATTTAACTGGGAATTGGTCCTGCTTTGAGCAGGGGGTTGGACTAGATGACCTTCTGGGGTCCCTTCCAACCCTGATATTCTATGATTCTATGATTCTGAGACTAACTTTGTTTGGATGAGGTACATTGAAGGGGAAACAACCTTCTGACCTCGTAGGTGAAGCAACTGGGGAAAAAGAGATACCTAGCCTGGAGTAATCAGCCAAAGTGACACCTAAGTAACAGTTGCCAACTTTCACGCGGTAAATAAGCACCCTGACTTTCACAATAAGTCAAAAATCAAGCTAATCCCATTTCAAAACAAAGCCAAAACAAGCCAATCCCTAAAAACCCTAACACTCTATGTGATTAGATCCCCTCCCGGCGTGCAGTCTGGGACTGTGGTAGGCCCACTGTGCACCCGCCCCCGCTTTGCTCCTGCTTGCCTGGAGCCGATCAAAAAAAAAAAAAAGAAGCAACAAGCTACAAGCCAAAAGCTAGCCATCAAGCAACGCATACGCCAATTAAGCCAAAAAAAAAAAAAAGAGCCCAATTTCTGCATTTTTTTCGTGGGTTTGGCATGTCTGCTAAGTAAGTCCCAACCAGACATGGATACAGTCAGTAGGGACATGGGGAAAGCTAACCAACCACAAGGAATTGTAGGACTAGGGACAGCTGGTAACAGGGCACATGAAACTTGTCTCTGTTCTAACTCCTGCTTTGTTCCTTTTTTAAAGGCAGTGTGAGAAAGGAAGGACAGTGACAGAGACATGCTTTTTGTTATAAAATTCTGTATCCACAGTTTGTGAAACACACTACCTCAGGGGCTACGAAGTTGGCTGTGTAGCAAGGTGTCATGAGCAGTCCATTCTCTGCTCTCAGCTGTTTGGCAAATCCGAAGTCACAGATCCTGATGGAATCTGGGTTTCCTGACTCATCCATGTAGAGAATGTTACTGGGCTTCAGATCTCGATGCACAACCTTAATGGGAAACAAATAAAAAATAAATAACTTGGGCATGATTACACAGCTTGCAGGCTTGGTTACCTTCATTATATGTTTTTCCTGATGGTGGGGAGTGTGTGGGTGGGGGTGGGGGTGGGGGTGGGGGTTCCTGCCTTGAAAGAGTGGGCCTTTGAAGAATGTCACTTTTTTTTGTTTTAAAAACGAGTGAATTGATGGCATGCATGCAGAATTGCACTTCTGTTAAAATCAGAAATAATAATACAAATTGCATCCTCTGCTGATATACAAGAGGGAGGCAGATGTTCCAGTGGAAAGGTATCTCTTTTGTGAGTTAGCAGAAGGGATTACTATACAAATAAAATACATCCCTCTAAAAGTACAGTAAGCTCTTTGAATCTGAATGTTTTAATCCTTCAATTAAAAAAGAGAGAAGACTGCCAAAGGCGGAAAGTGTGGACTCATTTGAGTGTGAGGCTCTTTCTCTGGCTGCTCTTAACATGAGTGGCTCTCAACTGAAGGGAGACATTTTCATTTTCCTTCATTTCCCTTCCTAAAAATCCTTTGTGCAGTGTGTATGTCACTAGAAGTGGCTGAATTTCAGTGGTGGGCAAATAAATGATATAAACTATATCAGCCATGCAAAACTGTCATGAAAATGTATTAGCCTTGGTACAAAATGAACTCATCCTGGTCACGATGATAATGGAAAAGGTACTTTACAGGCCCATCCAAAATGTTGCATGCCCCAGACAAATGGGAAAGGAAAGTACTTCAAATTGCGATATGTAGGGAGCTCAAATTTCAAAAGTTGTGCTATTAATAGGCTGTCAAAGCCCTGCCCTATCAGATGTTCAAATCAGCATATAAGCTTAAAAAATGGGAATTTGTTTATGCACCTATATGCTGATGTGAATGTCCGAGGGCTAGCATTTCGATATTTTATTGAAGAGTTCATATTTGCTCACATGGTGCTTGGATACTACAATGATGATTGTGATATGAATAAATAACACCCACATAGATTTGAAAATGAGAATCTTTGGCATTGCATAAATATAAGGTATTTGGCCTGGAGAATGGCACGAGTGGCTTTGATCCCATTTCAAACTGGACACTCATTTTTAAATGTAATTATTAAATATTAAAACAATTAACCCTTTCCAAATTTCTTTGCACCTTTGAATGTTCATTTTGGGCAACCCCCCGTATTTAATATTTATTTCCTGAGAAGCAACATCAAAGCTACTTTTCTAAGAGTCAGTTTTTACTAAGGTTGACATGGAGAACAGAGGTAATCATACTTACTCCTTGGGAATGCAGATAGTCCACAGTCTTGGTAATGGTGCAAAGGACAGCACTAGCCTCTCGTTCTGAGAAACACTTCTGTCGAAGGATTCGATCTAAGAGCTCTCCTCCTCGCATTAGCTCCATCACCAGGTACACATACTTCCCATCATCATACACCTAACAGAGCAGAGGAAGCAATCATACATCATGGATCAATTAGTCTAGCAAGTAGTGATCACTCTGCAATATCTTGCCATGTAATTGCAAGATGCCGCAAGAAGAAAACAGAGCTAATACAGAAGTGAATTTTATACTCCTTGTATTTAACAACAACATAAAAGTGAACTTTTTACAAAAGGGGTTAATTGTTACAGTAACTCTTCACTTAACATCGTCCTGGTTAATGTTATTATGTCGCTGATCTATTAGAGAACATACTCATTTAAAGTTGCACAGTGTTCACTTATAACATTGTTTGGCCACAGCCCACTAGTATAGTACTTTGTCCACTACTTGCGGGATTCTCTGGAAGAGCAGCCCGTTGGCTCTAGCGGGTGGGAGCTTGGAACCAGGGCAGACCAGCGGCCCCCTATCTGCTCCCCTCCACCCGTGCCAGCACCTCCTGCCAACAGGCCCCACAGATGAGCGCCTCCCCATGCCTCCAGCCCGCAACAATCATCTGTTTTGCGGCGTTCAGGAGGTTCTGGGGGGGAGGTGGGAGGAGTGAGGATGTGGCGCGCAGCCTCCTCCCTCCCTCCCCCAGTGCCTCCTCCTCCCTTCCCGTACCTCCCACCTGCCATGATCAGCTGTTTTGCAGTGTGCAAGAAGTTTTAGCGGGGGAGGAGTGAGGACTCGGGGGGGAGGGGGTGGAGCAGGGTGGGAAGAAGCAGGGCGGGGGTGGAGCAGGGGCAGGGCCTGGGCTTTGGGGGAAAGGGTGGAGTGGGGGCGGGCCTGAGGCACAGCTGGGGGTTGAGCACCTCCCGGCACTTAGGAGGAGCAAGAGGAGCAGCCTGATGATCCATCCTCTTTCACCCTCTGACTCCACCACCTCAACCAAGCTTCACAATCATTACTATGTACCGTATTAAATTGTTTTGTTTAAAACTTATACCTGTATTACATTGTTTGTTTAAAATGTATATAATGTCTTTTGTCTGGGAAAATATTTTCCCTGGAACCTAATTCCCTCTATTTACACTCATTCTTATGGGGAAATTGGATTCGCTTAACACTGTTTCGCTTAAAGCTGCATTTTTCAAGAACATAACTACAATGTTAAGTGAGGAGTTACTGTACTTTCTTCTGATCTCTAAAGCAACTATTCACCCTACTTTAAACTGCACATCATAATTTGCTATCAAGTCTGCAAAATATTAACAAACCAAGCTGCAGAAGCAGCACCACCACGCAGCCTGAAATCTCTTCTGGCGTTAGTCCAAACTTCCTCACAATTATCTGCTCTCTTCCAGTTCTACAGGGTAGCACTTGCCATTTAAAATATCAATATTTCCCTTTTGCCTCATAAGTAGCCAAACAAACTGCATTATGCTTAGTCAGGACTTACTTTCCGTGACACCATATAGCATGTGCTTTGCTATTCTGGTGAATAAGTTGTTTGCATCAGCTTTTTGTCCAAACTGCAGTATAACAATTTTAATTTCATACCCCTTTGCTAGACTGGACACTTTTATGGACAACAAGAATATCCAGTATTATAATAATCAATGCTAAACCTTTTCGGAGGAGATACAAAGCTTCGTGCTGCCAGTTTTAAGGCAATCTCTATTAGGGATTAGGATGAGACCTTAATGGGGACCACATATGCCTAGGGGTTTCTTGAACTTTCCTCTAAAACATCTGCTGATGGCCACTGTTGGAGACAGGATACTGGACCAGATGAAGATAAGTCTGATCCAGTATGGCAATTCCTATGTTCCTGTGTGTACAGACTATGGATAACGTCTCTGTGTTTCTGTCTATTGAAACAAACACATGCACAACACACACCACTACACTCTAAGTGCTGGCAATGGTAGACTATTGTCCAAATGAATTGACTAGGAATTATAATGTGAGTAAATACAGATATGTCTGTAGGCCTGGCTTGTTATACGTAACTTGCCTCATTTCTTAGTGGATATCATTGTGAAGGTGAATGGAAGGTTAAGTTGTAAATAGGGGCTTAACAAGCAGTATGCTGGAGTCAAAATGTTTGTGCTGGCTAAGATAAGCAGGAGCACCTGGATGCTAGGGACAATGGACAAGATAAACCTGGAATGTAAAGATCAGTTTCTACATGGACAGAGCATACTGTACAGGGATTGGTTCCTGAAAAGTAACCAATCCTACCATGAAACATATGATGCAATGTTTGGGTAAGAATGCATGTTTTATGAAAAATGTATGTAAGGTAAAGTTTTGCTGTGTAACTTTGGGTGTGTGGTGCACCCTACATGCACCCCCCTACGCTTCAGTCTGATTAACTAAGTGTAGCTTTGCTGTATGCCAAATAAAGGAACTGAATGACGAGACTTGAGTCAAACTGAATTCTTGGGGAATGAGTGGAAGAGGTATCAGGAAAACCCAAACAATATCTACACACATTCTCCTAACATTCAGTTGGATACCCATCTGCAAAGTGCCAGCATTCTAGAAGCATTAACATTCTGTGCTTGGATAGAATTCTGCTGTACTGTATTCTGTTTAGGTTCTTATACCATGCTCATCACTGTAATCCCTGAGTGCCTAGAATCTCACACTAGATCATTCCCAATTCCTGTAACTCTTGGATAGATACGCACTAGGCCGGTGGTTCTCAAACTTTTGTACTGGTGACCCCTTTCACATTAGCAAGCTTCTGTGTATGACCCCTCCTTAGAAATTAAAAACACATTTTTATATATTTAACACCATTATAAATGCTTGAGGCAAAGCGGGGTTTGGGGTGGAGGCTGACAGCTCACAACCCTCCCTGTAATAACCTTGCAACCCCCTGAGGGGTCCCGACCCCCAGTTTGAGAACCCCTGCGATAGGCTGTGTCTTTGTCCCTTAACATTCCCCAATTCTTGGAATGGGAGAAGAAGTGGGGAGCCAGAAAATGTCATATTTTATTATTTGAAGTTTTGGAAGTCCACATGATCACTTTTCTACAGCTTTCCATCTTCCACTAGAATCAAGGGCTCTGAGCTTTGTAAATACAATACTCCAGGAGCTCCAACACAAATGAGCTCACAGAGGTGTGTTTTCTTTAAGGGAGTGAAAAAATCAGTAGTCTCCCACACAAGAGCACACCACAACCCTGAAGCAAGCTTCCTCTTTTTCCTTTATTGCCATTTGTGAGACAGCTAGCACTGTTAGGCCTCATCTGTACGAGGGGATTTAAGCAAGAACATTTTCCAGTAGGGCTGCCAGGAGTTGGATTCCTAGTGTTGACAAGACTCCAGCCGCTTACAACATTTCTACACCATGTTGACTAAAGCTGCTCAGAGAAAGGGGATAAAAACACCAGAAATCATTTTGGCTCTATGGCTTTGGCAGATGCTGCCTTTGGTGTAGCTGAGGTGAGGGGTTAGCACTGGTGGGAAGTCTTTGCTAAAGTTCTGTAGCATAGACAAGGCCTTAGTGATGTTGTCTTTCATATTAAATGTTAAAATAAGGTCTCTTCTTCTGGTCTTTTCTGGTTGCTCACATGTAAGTTAAAGACTTCCTGGTACTCAAGAAAAAACAGGGGAAGCCCTACTGGCCTAGTTAACAATCCTCCTCTCAATACAACAAGTACCTGAGGCTGTATGTCAACAGCTACTGACCAGGAAATAGCCGTTCCAGTTATCTACAGAACCCTCGTTATTAGTGTTCGACAATCTACTTCAAAAAGAAGATTGAAAGATTTTGGTTATGAAAAGTCTTTTAAAATCAAATTAATTTCTATTCTATCTAGCCTTATGGGTCATTTCAAGTAAGCTTTTAGCTAGAGTTGGCCAAAGAGTATTTGTTGAATGCATGATCTGATAATCTTGCCATTTTTGTGTCCAATAATTTTTCAATGAACATTTTTTCTGGAATTCAAATAGCTCTCATTTTAAAATTAAAATGTCTGAACATTAAAACAGGCGAGTTTCTCAGTTACAGAGCAGGTAAGCTTGATATTAAAAGGAGAATTGTTTAAAGCAGACGTGCTCATAGACTACTCACATCTTTCAGAGTAATGATGTTTGGATGCTGCCCATATCTCAAGAGAATCTCAATTTCTTCAGAGGGGTCTCGTTTGCTCTTATCAATTATCTGGAATAAAGGAAGCACAGACCATAATATATAGGCTGATAGCACCCATCACCAAGCACCAAGATGTCTAATTTAAATGTATTAACATTTAATAGTCTTCTGATAATTATTGTTCTAGGACAGGACAGCCAAAGTTCTGCGATACCAAGAACCACAATGGCAATCTGCCAGAAAACAGATGGTGCAATACCCAGCCTTCCTTTTTATGCCTGCAACTTTGTGACCACAATTGTGAGTACAAGGGGTGTAATTTGAACATTAGCTACTTGAATAGTGTCATAATTGTGACAGGGTCAGGCCAGATGGCTACAGGAGAGTAATTTTTTTTTTGAAGCAGAAAAGAATTTTATTTGTGTAACACTTACAAAGAATCACCAAAAAGAATAAAGCAAAACTATGCAACAAAACAAAAGCAAACGCAAGGTATAACACAGCAGCCTTCAGGAGGGAGAAGTGTTCAGGCTACCCTGGGCCCAGAGCCGGGGGGCTTCCTCAACACTCGTGGTCTTCCACCCTTCTGAGTTACCTGGTGGCCCAGAGCGGGGGGGCTTCCTCGACACTCATGGTCTTCCACCCACCTGCCATGCCCAGTGTCACCGATTATTCCTCTCCTGAGAGTGCCCGACAAGATGGGCACAGCTGTGGGGTGGGCGGTTTGGGGGTGGGGGGACGTACACCCACGTGTGATAGGACCCCTCCTAGGTGACAGTGATGATGGTATCCACAGCAGCAACGGCTGGGGCTGGGATCTCTCGCTCTTCCCCTCAATCAAAGGGTCAGACAGAGGGAACCGGACGGGTTCACCGAGCAAAGAACCTCGGACAGCGCCCACCGCTCCTCGAAGGCGTCAAGGGCGGTAGAAGCTGCACTTGCTGGTGGAACGAGAGGATGTGACGGAGGATGGGGTCCTTGCAGCCCAACAGGAGAGGGCTGATGACAGAAACGAGTTTCCCCAGGGTGGAGAGACTGGGTAACAGGGCGGCATTGGGTAGAAAGGGAGGGACGGAGGTGAGGACTAGGCGAACGCCCAGGTCCTCTATCTGCTCCAGGGGGACAAACACCCCCCCCCCCCCCACCGCCAGGCCCTTCTCCACTGCCTCCTGGGTGGCAGCCTCCGATGCTAAGAAAAAGACGACCTTCCCGTACATTTTGGAGGCCGCCACAATAGCCATGGGTCCTACCACCCTCGCCAATGCCTGCACGTATGTCTCCACGTGGGGCGAGGCGGGCACCAGGAGGCAACGGACGCCGTGCTTCCTGGTCATGGTGGGAAAGGGGCCCCGGCCGCTAGTGATGGTAGCGGAGGTGGTGGGTGGGCGAGATGACGAGGTGGCAGGCGTGCAGGGGGCTGCCACCGCCCGGGCATACGTCTTGGGGGCCGGGGCAGGGACGCTCGCAGAGCTGGTGGAGGGAACAGCAGGGAGGGATGCCATGGTCAATGACGAGGCCACAGCGGTGGGGGCAGACCCTGCCATGGACGGTGGCAGGTGTTTTGGCAGCAGTGGGGGGGGGGGGGGGAGGCTTGGGGGTTGGGCAGGAGGGTAGGTGGGGGAGGGGCAGCTGAGGTTGTTAGCGGGGCCTCACCCCTCTCATTCCCCGCCATCGTGAGCAGGGAGAGACGGGGAGACACCAGAAGGGGGGGGGGGAAGGGGGAAGCAGATTAACCACTTCTTCCTGTTGGGCTGCAGGCGGGGGGCGCCAAATGGGTCGGACTGGACAGGGGGAGGAAACAGGAGTTGGGGTCAGGTAGTAGGGGCAAACTGTGGGGTGGGCAGTCTGGGGAGGGGAAAGGGGGGGAACGTGGACCCACGCGCATTTGTCCAAAGAGTCTCGTTTGGTCGGCTGTTGTGTCTGGTCCGGACGGTGGAATTCAGGGCAAGCAGCTGAGTCCAGAGGCAGATGGCAAGCTGCCAGCAGGGACGGACGGCGGGGGGGCCGTGACGGTTGTAGTAGTGTTGGGGGGGGACCGATGGATCTGGGGGGCAGCTCTGTGCCACACCCCCTGTGCCCCTACAAACGCAGTTAAGACACAGTCAAACTCCCCTCACACGAGAGTACAGTTCAAAAGTTACTCAGTCTTACGGCCCCCTCCACGATGATTTGTAGCTTCCCTGGGCAATGTCTCTGTCGGCTGTCTTCTCTCCCGGGCTTTGTGGAGCATTCCAAAAATGCCAAGCAGATAAGAAGAAAAAAATAACCTGTCGGTTAATTACGGGTCCACAAACGAACAGTGAACGGCTGGGTCTGGGGGCTTCCACTCCCCTCCTCCGGGGAGCGGGTCAGCAGTCCTCCCGCCCCGCGGGTTTCAGCTGGAGCAGTAGCAGCGTCCGAGGGCAGGCGTGGTGGGGCTGGCAGCAAGCTGGCAGCTGACCATGGGTGACTTTAATTTTCCTGATATCTGCTGGGAGAGCAATACAGCGGTGCATAGACAATCCAGGAAGTTTTTGGAAAGCGTAGGGGACAATTTCCTGGTGCAAGTGCTAGAGGAGCCAACTAGGGGGGGCGCTTTTCTTGACCTGCTGCTCACAAACCGGGTAGAATTAGTGGGGGAAGCAAAAGTGGACGGGAATCTGGGAGGCAGTGACCATGAGTTGGTTGAGTTCAGGATCCTGACGCAGGGAAGAAAGGTAAGCAGCAGGATACGGACCCTGGACTTTAGGAAAGCAGACTTCGACTCCCTCAGAGAACAGATGGTCAGGATCCCCTGGGGGACTAACTTGAAGGGGAAAGGAGTCCAGGAGAGCTGGCTGTATTTCAAGGAATCCCTGTTGAGGTTACAGGGACAAACCATCCCAATGAGTCGAAAGAATAGTAAATATGGCAGGCGACCAGCTTGGCTTAATGGTGAAATCCTAGCGGATCTTAAACATAAAAAAGAAGCTTACAAGAAGTGGAAGGTTGGACATATGACCAGGGAAGAGTATAAAAATATTGCTCGGGCATGTAGGAATCATATCAGGAGGGCCAAATCGCACCTGGAGCTGCAGCTAGCAAGAGATGTCAAGAGTAACAAGAAGGGTTTCTTCAGGTATGTTGGCAACAAGAAGAAAGCCAAGGAAAGTGTGGGCCCCTTACTGAATGAGGGAGGCAACCTAGTGACAGAGGATGTGGAAAAAGCTAATGTACTCAATGCTTTTTTTGCCTCTGTTTTCACTAACAAGGTCAGCACCCAGACTGCTGCGCTGGGCATCACAAAATGGGGAAGAGATGGCCAGCCCTCTGTGGAGATAGAGGTGGTTAGGGACTATTTAGAAAAGCTGGACGTGCACAAGTCCATGGGGCCGGACGAGTTGCATCCGAGAGTGCTGAAGGAATTGGCGGCTGTGATTGCAGAGCCATTGGCCATTATCTTTGAAAACTCGTGGCGAACCGGGAAGTCCCGGATGACTGGAAAAAGGCTAATGTAGTGCCAATCTTTAAAAAAGGGAAGAAGGAGGATCCTGGGAACTACAGGCCAGTCAGCCTCACTTCAGTCCCTGGAAAAATCATGGAGCAGGTCCTCAAAGAATCAATCCTGAAGCACTTGCATGAGAGGAAAGTGATCAGGAACAGCCAGCATGGATTCACCAAGGGAAGGTCATGCCTGACTAATCTAATCGCCTTTTATGATGAGATTACTGGTTCTGTGGATGAAGGGAAAGCAGTGGATGTATTGTTTCTTGACTCTAGCAAAGCTTTTGACACGGTCTCCCACAGTATTCTTGTCAGCAAGTTAAGGAAGTATGGGCTGGATGAATGCACTATAAGGTGGGTAGAAAGCTGGCTAGATTGTCGGGCTCAACAGGTAGTGATCAATGGCTCCATGTCTAGTTGGCAGCCGGTATCAAGTGGAGTGCCCCAAGGGTCGGTCCTGGGGCCGGTTTTGTTCAATATCTTCATAAATGATCTGGAGGATGGTGTGGATTGCACTCTCAGCAAATTTGCGGATGATACTAAACTGGGAGGAGTGGTAGATACGCTGGAGGGGAGGGATAGGATACAGAAGGACCTAGACAAATTGGAGGATTGGGCCAAAAGAAATCTGATGAGGTTCAATAAGGATAAGTGCAGGGTCCTGCACTTAGGATGGAAGAACCCAATGCACCGCTACAGACTAGGGACCGAATGGCTAGGCAGCAGTTCTGCGGAAAAGGACCTAGGGGTGACAGTGGACGAGAAGCTGGATATGAGTCAGCAGTGTGCCCTTGTTGCCAAGAAGGCCAATGGCATTTTGGGATGTATAAGTAGGGGCATAGCGAGCAGATCGAGGGATGTGATCGTTCCCCTCTATTCGACATTGGTGAGGCCTCATCTGGAGTACTGAGTCCAGTTTTGGGCCCCACACTACAAGAAGGATGTGGATAAATTGGAGAGAGTCCAGCGAAGGGCAACAAAAATGATTAGGGGTCTAGAACACATGACTTATGAGGAGAGGCTGAGGGAGCTGGGATTGTTTAGCCTGCAGAAGAGAAGAATGAGGGGGGATTTGATAGCTGCTTTCAACTACCTGAAAGGGGGTTCCAAAGAGGATGGCTCTAGACTGTTCTCAATGGTAGCAGATGACAGAACGAGGAGTAATGGTCTCAAGTTGCAGTGGGGGAGGTTTAGATTGGATATTAGGAAAAACTTTTTCACTAAGAGGGTGGTGAAACACTGGAATGCGTTACCTAGGGAGGTGGTAGAATCTCCTTCCTTAGAGGTTTTTAAGGTCAGGCTTGACAAAGCCCTGGCTGGGATGATTTAACTGGGAATTGGTCCTGCTTCGAGCAGGGGGTTGGACTAGATGACCTTCTGGGGTCCCTTCCAACCCTGATATTCTATGATTCTATGATTCTATGAACAGCTCTCGAATGGCAGCAGAAAAACAGCAAAAAAAAAAAACCAAAATGAAGAAAAAGCGTCTGGCCCGGTCGGGGGGAAGCTGAAACAGGGGCAAAAAGTAAGAAAAGCCCAGGCCAGGGGGCTTTAGGAGAGTAATAGAAAGCAGATATATTAGCCCCAGGCTAAGTAGGTCCCTTTTC